ACAGAGACATAAATGTGTCAACATTGCAGTCAGCTACGTACCGCATTTGCTACTTATAGTTTTGAATGATGGAGAATCTGATTCACAACTTTGACTTAGGTGCAAGGAACATTCGACTGTAGCGTCTGTCTTTGACTTTGCGACTTATACCACGTAAATGCTTGTGTCCCGATCATTCCACACAAATCTCCATTGGTTTTGAATAATCGAGAATCCGATTCACAAACTTTGACTGCAGTGCAAGGAACATTCAACTGTAGCGTCTGTAGGTACGACAAATAATAGGCGTTTCTTTTTATATTGTTTTCTAAATTGCAGTCGTTTTTACTCTTTGTCTTGAACCTACCTTAATGAAGACGAAGTTAGTAACAGGATGACCACAGCTGTTGACCTTGTTTGTTGTGTCGAATGGGAAGTCATTATGTGTAGCCACGTTAGCCTTGTCCTCGCTTGAGCTGTTAAGGGCCAGAAATCATTTTGGAAAAAAATCACCTTAAGTATGCAATACCATGTAATAAATGCAATAAGTATGTAATATTCAATGTCTTCATTCAAGCAGACTATCTGTTGACGCTCATGAGTTGCACAGAAACAAGTCGGTGATATAAGCTACGCGACCTTGTATAGCAGAACTCAGATCTGTTCCAGCAATTTCACCCGAACAAAGAAACGAGAAGTGTACTAGTCGTCGTATTCTGTGTTTATTTTATGTTCGTAGATATGTCACATCTGGCTATGCGTAGTCTATGGCGGCACGAAGGTTTTTTCAGGTCGTTATATGAAAGGTTTTACCAATCAACCAATATGTGTTAGTTGACGACTGGAACAGTACAGAAGTAGAGAACACTAAACACAGTGGACTCACAGAGGGAGTCAGTACTAAACTGCCCAAAGCGATGATAGTTGATCTATGACCAAACTGTAATTACATAGCAATGTCCTTGTTGCCAAGAAGATTGTTGGAGGTTTACTCGACTGACATGTAGATGTCTCTAAACACTGAGTGGGTTCGTGGAAATTTTACCCACAGGTATAGTTCAGTCACCTCACCTGTTCTTGCCATGGAGACCACCGTACGGTTGTTTCAGTGGAAACCCCATGTCTTTCCAGCTGTACAGCACGCCAACATACAACATCACAGCCAGGCAACCCAAGTACAGCACCCTTGACTTCAACTTAGCCATGTTTGTTAGTCGGCTATGCAATGGGCGCGGCGATAATAGGGGTAAATGTCGGAGACTGATGCGTCAGTTGCCCAAACCGGAAGAACAACTCTAACCAAACACAAAGACCTTCCCAGTGTGTAGGCCCGATTAGGTCAATGACCCACGACACTCTGTCTGTCCAGTCAGCTTGCAGGTAATGGTATAAAATAGACCGATTCTTGCTGGCTATAACTACACGAAAAATAGGATTCAATGTACAATGTCGTAACAACGCAGAGTCGTTTTTGGTAAACACATTTAAAAAAAGACATTGAAAAAAGTAAATTTCTGATAAAACACAAAGTTTTAATATGTTCTCTGATACAAAGTAAGAAACGTATACTCTCTAAAATCAAGTATATTGAACGTTGATATGAACTATATTTTATGAGAAAACGTAAAATGTATTATGTCCTTTGAAACAAAGTGTATTGAACTTTTTTGATACAAAGTAAATATCTTTGAGACAAAATGAATTACATTCAATGCTACAAAGTGTGTTCTCTGATACACACCACTAGACAACGTGTAAATATTTTTGATGTAGATTTGAGGTCACTCAGATTCAATTTGGGCTTGCTTTCTACTAATCTCTTCGTTTTGCCTTTCAAGTTGGAGCAACAAGGCTGAATTCCACTGCGTAGTGGTCCAGTCCAGTTCTTCACAGAAGGTCGAGTCAGCCAAAAACTCTCGGCTCCATTTGCCGCTAGGAAAGACTTTATCTCCTTGGGAGAGTGTACAGTGGTTGTTTACTTGGAGATTCAGTGTTTTAAAATACACCACCTCGTCCCAAAACTCGGGTCCTTCCTTGGTTGTCCGTTCCCAAAAGGTCCTGTTGAAGTAGTCGTATATGAGATAGTCTATGGGTGTGATTTTCCTGTGAGTTTCTATCTGTTTGTCCGTGAGTGGGGCTGACTTTTTGGGATCTCTTTGAACGTGGAGTCTTCTTGTTGTGTGGAGGATGTCGTACATGGTCCAGCAAAACGTTCTTCTCAGCAACACCAAGGATTCCTCCCAGTACTCTGTTATCAGAACTATGGAGTACCAGCTGCCAACGGTTCTGTTAAAACAACAAGAAGAAGGGAATCAGCATCAGATGGCAAACCTTACCTACTTTCCTGAACTGCACTGCGATCCTTTCAGTTGTATGGTCATATGACATAGTATCACTGAAAGATATATGACTTTTATTGTGTATATCGGAAATTGGCGACTGGCCAAAGATAATACCAATTCTTGCCAGAAATCTAGGCAAGATTTTCACACAGCAAGAGGCAACTTACCTAAGAGTCTCCTCTAGTACACTTTTCTTCCTGCTCCCAAACAGCTTCCTTGGGAAGCCCAAGGTGTAAGCTTGGAAATTCTTCTGCTGACAGACCGGCTTCCCAAGTTTTCCCATGCCAGTACGTCCTGGCTTGTAGTTCACCTTGCTATCCAGGTACTTCCCTAACGGGTTGACGCTGTCCTTTGCCGGCTGATTCTCATAGAAGAACACGGAACGGAAATGTTCCAGCGGGTGGCGCACGATGCCGATGTACCTGGTACCGGGCGCCATGAGGCGGTCCATGGCAGTCTTGTTCATGATGGCGTGGTTGATGAGGAGGGTGTAGTTTCCTAGGGAAGGCTGGCACGCCGACCTGTCTAAGTTTGGGCTGAAACGTGACAAGAGCATTAAAGGCATTCAATGAAGTTTTTAGGGCTTGGAAACTTTCAAAGTCAATATTCTAATCACTTATCTACATAACTGAGTTGTAAATTGACCCTCATGGAGCAAAGATACCCAAAATTCTGACGGAAAATGGTCACTGGAAGGACCCTTGGCTGATTTTAGGGTACCACCCAGAAAATTGGTGAAAAGTACCTGTTGTACGAGAGCCGCCTGTGCTTATCGTGAATCGGGTAGCAGATGGTCATTCCGTGGTTCCGGCCGAACCTAGCCAGTACCAAAAACGTAGAGCCAGAACCAGTCTTATGGACCTGGACAGAGACATAAGTGTGTCAACACTGCATGCAGTCAACTATTATCTTTGCAAATTATACCTTACCACGAAAGTCTTCGTGAAGGTGGGTCCCGATCATTCTACTGTAACATATTTTGTGGTGGAGTGGAATTTGTTGGAGATAAATGGTGAAGAATATCCCATTCACAATCTTTAGAAACCCAGACACGTACACAGTGTCAACGGGGAATATTCGTCTTCCTCATTATGATTACTGAAGGCAAAAAAACATATTGTTTTTGCTCTGTTTCTTCTTCTTATTCCGTTCCGAAGACTGACCTCTCACCTTATAAATGACCTGAACCAGACGTCTGTCACCATGGTAACTAGTGTTGGGTTACATAATGTTGCAATTTTATAGTAGGAGGGATTTATACTTCTGTCACCATATATGTGAATGTGTTTGAGTAAGATTCCACAGAGCAGACCATATGCAAAGGTTAACATTAAGCATTTGCTTTGCAAATATTGCCTTTCTAGTTTTTTTTTTTTACCTCGGCAGAGCCTGTGTGTGTTCTTTGTATTTTGTACTCTAATTGAAGTCATCAAAGTCGATTTTACTCTTTGGCTCAGCATTTACCTTAATGAAGACGAAGTTGGTGACCGGACCATCGCAGCTGGCCTGATTTGTTGTGAAGGATGGTGACAGGTCACTCCGTAATGTAGGGCCTCGCCCGGTAATCATGCCCTCATGTGACCTGTTAAAAACAAGCAACATTTGCTGGGAACAGGGTAACTTTAAAGGATTCAATACCGGCATTCCAGTAATAACTTAGCCTCCACCAGGCCTTTCTACGGGAATACGGATCGTAGAATTCGGCAAAAAGGAGAGTAAAATTGGCCAAGGGAGTCCGGCCGCGGGGAGGTAGTTTCTTTCCCTCCGGTCAAACCTACAAGGCGGCCAAACTCCCCAGTCTGGTAGAGACTAGTAATTACTACTGTCATGATGCCACTTGTCAGTCTCTTTGTAGGTTTACTAACTAAAAAGTCTCTAAACGTTGGGAGGGCCCACAGAAATGTTTCCGTCTGATAGTTCAAAAATATCTGTCACCTCACCTGTTCTCACCATAACGTCGTTTCGCTGGAAACCCCGTGTTTTTCCAACTCCACAGCATGCCAACATACAACACTACAGCCAGGCAGCTGAAATGCAGTATCCTAGACCTTAACGAAGCCATTGTGTGTACATGCTTGTATAGTTCGGTTGTCTAAGACTAAGGGCGCGATCGACGATAGCAGGGCCGTAAGTCAAGCGTGATGTAATGCGTACGTTGCCTAACCGGAAAAACTACTAGATATAAAGACCAGCTCAAAGGCCGGGACTGATGAGATCATTTGTCACAATGAGCCCACGACCCTATACTGATTTGTGACCTTGCCAACCACACAGACGATATTAGCAGCGATGTAGTTTTATGGCGACACTCAAGACTCACACACACACACACGCACACAAGCACACACACACACAGACACACACACATACACACAAACACACACACGCACAGACGCATAAACACACAAACATAAACGCATAAACACACACAGACACATAAAAACACACACACACACACACACACACAAACACACACACACACAGACACACACAAATACAGACACAGACACACACAAATGCAGACACATACACACAAACACACACAAACACACACACACACACACACACACAAACGCATAATTAAACACACACACATACAAACAAACAAACGCATAAACACAGAATAATAAAGTAGAGTTCACTGATTTTTATTTCATTTGTCGTTCATTTCTATCTCTTTGTTATGTTCATCAAGTTGGCGCAGCAACGCTGACGACCATTTAGCCGTGCTCCAGTTTAGTTCTTTACAGAAAGTAGAATCTACTGCGAACTCTTGGCTCCATTTGTCACCTGGAAAGACTCTATTCCTCTTGGTTTTCCGAGTTTTCCGACAATGGTGGTTTACTTCGAGGTTCAGTTTCTTAAACGACGCCACTTCGTCCCAAAACTCGGGTCCTTCCTTGGCTACCCTTTCCCAAAATGTCCTATTGAAATGTTCATATATGTTATAGTCTATGGGGCTTAATGTTCTGTGTGTTTCCTTCTGTTTGTCCGTGAGTGGGGCTGACTTTTTGGGATCTCTTTGAACGTGGATTCTTTTTGTTGTGTGGAGGATGTCGTACATGGTCCAGCAAAACGTTCTTCTCAACAACACCAAGGATTCCTCCCAGTAGTCTGTTATCAACACAATTGAGTACCAGTCCGCAACGGTCCTGCGAAAAATAAATTAATTCATCAACGAAACGCAATGTCGATTTTTTTCAATCAAAATAGACAGGTTAAACTAAGAAAAAATTGAAACAAGAGGAAGTCAATCATTTAATAAAGTACATTCCAAGCTGCCAGTTTGGAACAGACAAATCTGACCCTAGCCTGACATGTCAATGTTTAGACATCCAGGTAAAAAAATACACACACAAAAAAAAAAACAGTTACTCATGCAACTGCATAATGATTTTGGAAACGGTCAGACGTTTCAGGCAGCATCCACTACCTTTCGTCAGTGACAAAAGGTAGTGGATGGTTTCTTTTGTCGAATCTCCAAACAGATCTTTCGGTAGGGGTAAGACAGTATTATATGAGATTGGCCAGCCTGTATGTATCCATTTGACAGACAGTATCCATTTCCCCATCTTTGGTGGGTACTGTCTGGCCAATTTGATACTGTCTTATCCCCAGCGAAATGTCTGCTTAGAGATTACCTTTCGTCTACCCCTGACCTACCTGAGTGTCTCATTAATCTGGCTTGTACTTTTGCTGGCCATCAACTTCGTCGGGAATCCCAAGGTGTATGCTTGGAAATTTTTCTGTTTCGAAATTGTCTTCTGTCTTCTTCGATTGCCAGGCTGGTAGTCCGCCCTGTTGTCCAGATACTTTCCCAGCGGATTGCTCTTGTCCTCTGCGGGCGAGCGTCGGTAGAAGAACATGGAACGGAAATGTTCCAGCGGATGGCGCACGATGCCGATGTACCTGGTACCGGGCGCCATGAGGCGGTCCATGGCAGTCTTGTTCATGATGGCGTGGTTGATGAGGAGGGTGTAGTTCCTTCCCAGAGCCGGTCTGCAGGCTGACCTGTCTATTCTGGCGCTGAAGGGAGAGAGGATGGAATGTTGGTGTTATTGTTGGGTGATATTTTTTAAGTGGTGATTCCAAAGTTCACCGAGGGACTTCATGAAACAAATCTAATGTTGAGTTTCAGTGATCTCGAATGTCTCTTTAAAATCGTTGAATGCATGATGTTCAATGATATCGATCTCCGTAGCTCATCTAAATGATCTACCATCAATAATTATGTTCAGAGATTCTTACCCTGCAGCCGCTGGTCGCACGTTTACATTTTGTAAATGTTCCATCACATCAGTGTTCATAATAATGGTAATTAACGCATCAAGGCTTCAAACAACCTCAAACTCACTTTTGGTAGGAAAGCCGTCTATGACTGGCGTGCACAGGGTAACACATAGTCATTCCATGGTTCCGGCCGAACCTAGCTAGTATCAAAAACGTGGAGCCGGAGGCAGTCTTATGGACCTGGATTAAGATATCAGGATGCCAAAAAGTCTTAGTAAATAAAAAAAAAAAACTACAAGAAAAGTATTAGCTAAATCTGGCATACAGCCTATCCGCGACCCTTTTTACAACTTCCATGCGCTTAAACACAACGCCCTTAGTAGCTGCAAGGGATATTCGGCCTTGTAAGGTATTTGACCTCTTTAGCGTCTGCTATGAATGTAGCCATTGTGTAGGACTTCTTGCTTGAGGCAGGCCAATTTCTGTACTTCTGTATATGTACATAGGCGAAGTCGCGAAGCTTTTGTTGTACTTGTTGCCCCCCTCCCACACGTACTCTACAATGTACCTTGATGAAGACGAAGTTTGTGACCGGACGATCACACCTGGCCTGGTTTATTGACGCCCTCGTGGACACGTCACTCCGTGCTACAGTCCGATGCCCTGTAGCTGTGTTTAGTGCGACTGTGCCCTCCCTTGACCTGTGTAACAACCAACAGCCCTTGTTGTGGACACTGTTTACTTGTTTTAATTGCTACACGATAATTCCAAACGTTACGTGAGGCAGATGACCAGTATTTAGCCCCACAGTTTTATTTTGTGCTAATTTGCAGGGGCATACGGATCGGTAAAATGCATATAGACCTGCATGACCACCAACGTTTAAGAAGTCACAATCAGAATTAGATTTGCAAGAACTTTGAACACATGTGAACACCACCCACCTGTTCTCGCCATGGGAATCACTACTATACCTTTGCTTCACCTTAAACTCCGTGTCTTTCCAACTCCACAACATGCCAACATACAGCACTACTGCCAGGCAGCTCACATATAGCGCCGTCAGCCTCAGCGAGGCCATCGTCTGTGTGTTAGCTTGCCTAGTAAACGCAATCAAGCGGAAAGTAATATAGCTAGAGGAGACGAAGATAAGGGCTTTGATCCAGGCTTTGTGACGTGTGTATGGCCCTGGAAAGATCTTGTCTCGTCTGCCATGTTGTGTGACGACGAATAAATAGGTCAAAGATTCAGAGCACAAGAATGTCGACTTCAAAGGCATTGCGTATTTGAGAAACTAGTCTAAGAAGAGGGTGGTTATTGTCTTAATCTTAGACGGTAGTCTGCCAAATCATATAAAATCAAAAACATTCTTGCCAACACTGAGTATTGGGACTTACCCAAATTTTCGACCGACTTCACGGAATGGACCCTTCTATTGCAGCTTCCGGGACGTGACGTCGGAAACACGTCCCAATTTATTCAGTGTTGGTATGAATGTTTAGCCCTTTTTGTCATAATGAAGTATATTAACACAGATAAACTTTCATGCTAATCATAGCTTTATTTTGTATCTGTAAACTGTATCTGTTCATCATATTTTGTTGTGACCTGTGCTTAGCCCAGTGTGGCAAAAGATGTGCAATAAAGGCCGTTATTCATTCTTGTCCTGCTCCTTTTCCTACATTCCAGACAGCCGGTGACTGGGAGAAGCACTATCTCGGCCAGGAGAAGGTTGCCGAGTTCTTCGAGCGCGGTTACATCAGCAACATACGGGTTCTGACGGAGGAACAGTGCGACAGGATCCTGAAGGATTATGAACATTTCATTGTGAATATTCTTTTTTTAGATAATTTCATGCTATTCCAAAAAAAAATTCAGTCAAAAAAATGCTCTTAACCAAAATCATAAAGGTTTGTAGGCATGTTTTTTTCGAGAATAGCATTGATAGATTATTGTCTCCGTATAGTTGGGGCTTCCCCTGTTTCTTTGGTCATTAGTCATATAGCCGACGTTTCGGTGACCGTTTGTCACCTTCCTCAGGGCGATTCTGACTGGTTCACATTGTACTGCAGGCGTAAATATTATGCGTATGGGAATGCATCAGATTCTATAGCAGCGACACCTGTGCTGCAGTGCAATGTGAACCAGTCAGAATTGCCCCCAAGTAAAAAAAAAAAAAGGTGACAGACGGTCACCGAAACGTCGGCTGTGAATATAATAAAACACTTGGCTGTGTAAAAAAGAGCTTCAGAATCTTTACTAAGTGACTAACCAACCTGATTTCTATTCACGGAGGTTTCTGCTTTATGGTTTCACAATCTACTACGGGAGTTTAACATTTTATAAAATTATTCTACAACACTACATCAACATTTTATTTGAGATGAACAGATTGAGATGGAGAGATAAGCAAGAGGCAGGTGACCTACCTACTTATACGTGCCGGTTTCTCGGCAGGACCCGTCCAAGCGGCACCCCGGCCACGCCATGCTGTACGAGCACCACAGTAACCAGAGCGGGGACAGCAGCAACGTGCTGATGCACGGGCTGGGGCAGTGGCGCCTCACACGGCTGTTCCACGACGTCGTCTTCCTCCCCGCAATCAGCGTAATGAACTCATTTTGTTAGCATGAATGTTCGTGTGTGGTGGTACAAGTCATTATGAAATAAAGACTACAATGAATTGGAGCTTACCCCAAATTTTCGCGGAATGGACCCGTCTACTCTTGGAACGTGACGTTAGAGACACGTGACCGTAGTAGCGGGTCATACGTGCCAGATAAGTTGTGTCGCCCCCCGTCTCTGTTCAGGGTAGATCTGTGAGTTCTTAATATGTAGACCGTCTCCTGCTAAATGGCAATGTGTACAATGAATTGGGATTTACCCCCAATGAATTGGGGTAAGTCCTAGAATATGTCTATATTTCATAACTCATTTTTTCTTCTTTCAAATCAATACTTTATAGTTGGGAGAAGTGGGCGACTCGATGCAACACCGCTGCATCTTCAATAACGATTATCCACAACCAAAAATGCACATTGTAATGTCAAAATATCAAGATAAAAAACTACGACACAAGTAATATTTGCACTAAAATGTTTACAGTTGAATTACCCATGTATATTCATTCCGTGCACATGTTGTTGTAGGTCCCCTCCTCGCAGCTGCTGGACCAGGACAAACTCCGGCCTGTCCGCCTGTGGCACGATCAGATGTTCGCTAAGCCGGCCAGACATGGGGGCGTGGTGGCGTGGTAGGACCAGGGCTTCTTCTTCTCGACTTCTTTGGCCTTTTGTAGCTGGCATTTAGAACAAGCATTTAATACTTAATTTTTTTTTTCTACAGGCACCAAGACTACTCCTACTGGACTAGGACTAAACCCATGATGCACTTAACGGTATTTATTACATTTCGTTTTGTTTCTGGCCGACAGTACCATAGACAAACCATTATTGCATGACCTAACATGAACTAACTGAAATATAGTTGAAACTATAGCTTTCAAAGATTAGCACACGTTTGGTAGTAATAGTAGTTCACACCATATTTTACATTACATATATTTGCTGCACTAAACATGACATGATCAGATAATCATATCTCTGTCTCCACGCCAACGTAATTATGTACTTTGCAGGTCCATATCGCG